GGCCACCTCCATGCCAGGTGTTTACTACCCTTGCTCTCAATCACAGAAGAGCAAAACCATGCATTCTGCAAGTTTATAAAATGTGTCCTTAACCAAGTAGCCTGGATAAATAACTCTTGAGTGATTAAAACAATCTTGAAAGCTAGTTTTATTGCCATGCAAGACATTTACCTTTCAGCATCTTCAAAGACAGGACTGTCGCCTCCAGATGCCATGGTTTGGCAAAACAGTCTTTAATCCAATTAGCAGGCAGGAAAGAAAAAAGCAGGACTGCAGCAAAGAAAGATTGAGAGCAACAAAGATAACATCTGTAAAGGATTTTTTTCTAAATTTGCAATCCATTTCTCAAATTGCATGCAGTTTCTGATGAAACAGCTTTTACATACAATAGAATTGCAATCTCCAGTTTTCAGAAAAAGAAATTAAGCCATGCAAATTGGCCGATCATATTTTTCCGTTATAAATTTATAGTTTCCCAAAACTAGAGACAAATATGATACCACATCAGAGCTGAAAGAGACCTAGAGGTCCTCTGGGTCCTGCGCTTCTCAAATTGAGAGGTATAAGAGGCCCTCAGGGTATGAGGCAGTGGGTCAGGGAATACTTAAAACTCCAGAATAAACAGTACGCATCTTTGGGAAGCATCAATGTTACAGGGTGGTAACAAATTTAAAATGCAATCTTAATATTCAATTTTAGAAGGCTATATATTATGGTGGAATATATAATTAAAAAAATATTTTAGGGGCATCTGGCTGGCTCAGTTGGTAGAGTACGTGACTCTTGATCTCGGGGTTGTGAGTTCAATCCCCACGTTGGGGCAGAGCTTACTTAATTTAAAAAAAAATTAAAAATTAAAAAAAAATTTTAGATACCTTCAAAGAAATGACTAGTTTGCAGGAAGCAACCAAGGATATGCTAGTTTGCTTTCTAACAGCAAACTTAATTTACCCACTTACTCAAGCCCACTTAATTTACTAGTGCCAATAATGAATCCACAAAAGTTATGTGGTTTGCTCAGGTCACTAGTAGGGCCTGAGCCAGAACTAGGGCCCATAACTCCCATGCAGTTATCTCAGAATTAACTAGGCTGTAATACTAATTAAATTTTACTAAAATCAGAAGCACACATATATTCACACATGCATAGGAAACCCTCCACGTTTGGAGATTTGGGATTAACAGCTGTATCCCTTCCAAACCTACTGAAAAATAGCTACAACTATTTTTTGCTTCCCAGATCTACTCTGTCCTAGCCTTCTCCCTATAGATGCCCAAGAGTGCTCTCTCCTTGTTAAAAATGGAAGATCGCCAAACTTATTTAGCTGGAAACAGGCAGAAGCCACAAACTGTTTTTAAAAAGATGTTAAAGAAGGGCGCCTGGGTGGCTCAGTTGGTTAAGCGACTGCCTTTGGCTCAGGTGATGATCCTGGAGTCCCTGGATCGAGTCCCTGGATCGAGTCCCTGAATCGAGTCCCTGGATCGAGTCCCTGGATCGAGTCCCTGGATCGAGTCCCTGGATGGAGTCCCGCATCGGGCTTCCTGCTCGGCAGGGAGTCTGCTTCGTCCTCTGACCCTATCCCCTCTCAGGTGTTCTCTCTCTCAAATAAATAAATAAAATCTTAAAAAAAAAAAAAAAGATGTTAAAGAAGAGATTAACACTGATAAAAGCAATCCAACAGGCAAGGAAAACATAAAAATTTTAGAATAAAAAAAGATTCAAACACTTTGTACCTAAAATAAATCCCTTTGTTTTGGGAGCACCTTACAAATTTGTGAACTTTTCTAATCTCAAGAAGCCCTAGGATATCTCCTATGAAAGTGGAGGGTATCCTCCAACTACAAAAGCAAAGAGAATACACAGCAATAGAGGAAGCCAAATAGCATAATATAAACTTGGATAAGCCATCCTTTGCAAATCAGAGTGGGCTTAGGGATATCATTCAAATTTTGCTTTACAACTTTTAGAGACCCTAGAAAGTTCAGTAATTCAATATTCAAACTTGAAAGAACTGCCCAGTTTTCCATTATAAGGAACTTCAGTATTATCACACTACGATAAGGCATGGTACCATCTTAATTATAATAACTTTTCATATAGAAGTATAAAAGACAACACAACAAATTAGAAGGGAAGTGAGAAATCAAGGTCACATTTATTTCTTGAAAATTTTCCCTAAACTATCGACATTCATTCATACATTCATTTATTTATGGAGTATCTATCTAAAGTGCTGAAAAGTTTTGGAAATAGTGATGGTTGCACAAAATTGTAGATGTACTTAATCCCACTGAACTGTACACTTAAAGATGGTTAAAATGGTAAATTTTATGTCATATGTTTTTTACCACAAATTAAAAAAATAATATTTTAATATACAAAAAGACATTGGATTATACACTTTAAATGGGTGAATTGTATGGTATGTGAATTACACAAAAAGGAAAGACCTAGGTACCCTGCTGGTAGTGTTTCTTGGAATGTGACTGTATCTATAACCAAAAGATGATCACAACTGTCCTTGTCTACCTTACTCATTTGAAAAATGAGAAATATCTGTCACACATCTCTAAGTTACAAACTGGACTTAATAAACACATGTCATACTCTAAATTCATTCACCATGCTAATAGTTATCAGTCACTTATGTGCCAGGCACTGAGCTGGACACTAAGCTCAGTGAGGGGCCCTAGAGAGACCAAATGATGATTATGACACAGACATGGGGGTGTCCTTGTAAAGAGAACTAGTAAAGGACAGAATGGGCCCACAGAGAAAGAATCCCAGCCCTACCAAATGGGTGGGAAGGCCAGAGAAGACTGGTTTAAAACTTGAAAGAAAGGAATTAATCCACTGTCATTCTTAAACTCTTATACACGTACTTAATTTTCAGGATCATGTGACCAAACTGAAAAATGATCATTACAAAGAATATTCCCTCTATTTTAGCACAAAATTTAAAAAATGTAAATGAAGGGGCATCTGGGTGGCTCGGTCGGTTAAGCATCCAACTCTTTTATTTATTTATTTATTTATTTATTTATTTATTTATTTATTTATTTATTTATTTGAGAGAGAGAGAAACAGCATGAGAGGGGATAGGGTCAGAGGGAGAAGCAGGCTCCCCGCTGAGCCGGGAGCCCGATGGGGGACTCGATCCCAGGACTCCGGGATCATGACCTGAGGCGAAGGCAGTCGCTTAACCAACTGAGCCACCCAGGCGCCCAAGCATCCAACTCTTGATCTCAGCTCAGGTCTTGATCTCAGGGTGGTGAGTCCAAGCCCTGCTTTGGGCTCCATGCTGGGCATGGAACCTACTTAAAAAATAATAAAATAAAAAAATAAAATAAATGAAAAGGATGGAAAACCAAATTCCGTTTATTTTCACTGATGAGGATGATGTCACTCACTTGAAACTTTTTTTTTTTTTTTGTAAGATTTATTTATTTGACAGAGAGAGAGGGAACACAAGCAGGGGGAGTGGTAGAGGGAGAAGCAGGCTTCCCGCCAAGCAGGGAGCCCGATGCGGGGCTCGATCCCAGGACTCTAGGATCATGACCTGAGCGAAGGCAGACGCTTAACGACTGAGCCACCCAGGCGCCCCTCACTTGAAACTTTTTACATGTCTTCCAAGAACGCTTTTTGAATATCTAGGCATCAACATAATCTTTTAAAATCTCTTCCCTAGCAATTCAACGGTCACGTTTCAGAGTAAGACTTAACCATTAAGACGTTTCCACTGTTCATCTAACCCAGCTTGAATTTTGCCTTAACTTGGGTTTAACCGCACTGGGGGCTGTAATGGTCTGTCCAAGCTAAACCCAAATCCGTTTTAAAAATTACTAAGATATTCATAGTTCCCTTTTCAGCAAAAGCTCTAGGTAAGGCCAGCCACAAGGTCACTCTTCAACAAACAGGTGCTGACACTGTATGTCGAGACCCACGTGAAGCACTGGGACCCAGCAAAGTCGGTCAGGAAGCTCCAGGAGCCAGGCCTCCCCAAATGCTACCGGAGGTACAAGAACCGGTAACTTTTCTGAGGAGCATTTTTACAATGTAAACCACAAGCCTTAGGAGCGATCACTCTAAACAACGGATCACGCTCAACACACTAGACGTCGTAACAGTGCTCAATGAACTGCCTTTTTTGGTATTAGCTACAAACTGAAAACCATGTCCACCAGCAGGGAAGGACGCCATGAAGTAAATCACAGTCCCGTCACTCAACAAACTGCACGTCCAGCTGGGGCCAGGCCCCGGGATGGATGCTGCGGTCAACCTGGCACACAGGAACGCAGTCCAGTGCGGCCAATACAAAGGACGCAGAAAAACACGTAGAGCCACGGTTAGCTGCGCACGCTGCATTCTTAGGTAAAGAAGCCAAGTTGCAGCACCTTCCGATCTAGGCTTTGCAAAATGCAGTCTGCTCACGCGTCCAGGAAAAAAGGGCTGGGAGAGGATTATCTTAGGGTCGCAGGGCCTGGCCAGGTAGGGGCGACCCGCAGACTGCCCCCCCGCCCCCCCGCTCCTTGCCTCTGCCCTCCGCCGGGCAGACACAGGACGTCCGGAACGCACCCGGCGCGGCCCGACGCCTCACCCGCCCCGTCCCACGGTCCGCGGAGACACCGCCCACCGCTCGCAGCGCCCGCCGCCGCCCGGAGATGGCCGCCGCCGCCGCCCTGCAGCGGGAACGCCGGGGGCTGCGCGCAGGGGCTTCTGGGGCCCGGCCCGGGGCCGCCCCACCTGGGCCGCGGCGCTCACCTGGCCGCCGAGCACCGCGGGAGGCTCTGGGCCACGCGGCGCGCGTGTTCCCACTCCGCCACGTAGGCCGCGCGGCCTTGCTCCCTTCGCCGAGAAGCGGGCGCTTCCTCCTCGGAAGCTGCAAGCTCGGCCGCCGCCAGTTGCGGGCGCGCCGACTCTGTGGCGCTTCAGGTCCCCTGAGGTGCCCGGCGCAGGCCGCCCCCCGCCCCCCAGCACCGCCGACGCAGCCCCCGCCTGCTGCCTCAGCCGAGAGCTCTGCGCTCTCTGCAGAGGCCCTCCGTCATCCCCAAACCTTAAGTCCTGCACCGCGTCCCGCCGCCCCGGGCTGGTAAGACCCGCTGATAGCAGGCGCGGGGCCGGACGCTGGGGATAACCTGGTGGCAAAAACAGACCTTGTGCCTGCTCTGAAGCCACTGGGCAGGTAAATCTGATTATGGCATTCGCCCCTTGAAATCTCGCTATGGGTTCCGGTTACTTCTGTAAAGACCCAAACTCCTTAAGGCGCGCATGAGGCCCCATGTAGATTCGCAAATGTTGCAAGCTTTTTCTCTCCCCGGGGCCTCTGCAGATGCTCTTCCCTCTGCGGGGCACTCCTCCCTGCCTCTGCCCTTAGCTATCCTCCACTTTGTTGTTGAGCTTGCGCTTCAAATATTTTTTAAGGAAAACTATCCTGTCCGTGAACACTTGCAGCCCTTGGAATTCTCCTTAGTCCTTGCAGTTATTTGTGTGATTTTTTGCTTAATGTGTAACTTAATAGTGGACTGAGGTTCTTGAAGGCAGGGGCTATGGCCGCTTGGCTCTCAATCTTGTTATCTCCCACATCGGCACAGTGCAGGCTCATAGTAGGCTCTGATAAATACTTGTTTAAAGAATGAATGTAGAGCAGGCCTGGGTGAGTTTCAGGTGGTTTCGATTTTCACTGTCACCAGCAGAGAGGGAGGAGGGTTGTTGAGTGGGCCATTGGAGGAGGGCAGTGAGTGGTCCCTGTAGAGAGTGTGCCCAGTGACAATATACAGACATTTGAAGGGATTCTGGGGGGACTCTGAGGGCCCAGAAGATTGGGGGGCATGGGGGCATCGAGGCCCCATTGTGTAATTTCTTCCCCCCGCTTGAGGTTAACGTATTGTTTCATCTTTAGGGTTGGTAAGAGTTGAAGCAGTTTCTAGATGCTGAGCAAGTATGTGAGAGAAGGGGGATAGAGAGGTAAGAGGGAACAATCTATTATTTAGTTTAATCAGTCTGCAAAGTAATAATGACTGAATTCTTAAGCAAATTATGTTATAAGGATTCTGGTTAGTGAGCACTGATTTCTTGTTTGCAACCCTGTATTGAAAGCTCCTGGAAGACAAAGACTTTTCATATTTGTATTATCTTCTAAACCAGTGTCTTGAGCAGAGAGTTTTCAATAAATGTTGAAAGAATGAGGTAGAGGGGAAAAGGGAAAAGGCCCCAGAGTGGAAATTTCCAGTGATGGGACCAGGCTAGCTGAAGACATGTCCCTAATTACTTTTTTTTAGTCCTTAGTTCTTCTAAGAAACAATCCTGGGTCATTGGGCTAGGACCAGGAAACACTGCTTGGGGAGCAGCTCTGTGATACTGTGTAATGAAGGATTATATTTTCTTGTAAAACTTTAGGAATCTGGATATCCTTTATAAGACTGTTAAGGTATAATTTATTGGATGCTTGCTATGTCCTTATATATTGTTACTTGTATTTTTCACAACAGCCCAGTACTTACATTATAGAGAGACCCAAAGCCCTTCAGAAGTTGCCGAGCCAGCATGTGGAGCCAGGCTTGTGGGATTCAAAAAGTTCATGTTAACGGGGCCTGTTATTACAAAAGTGTTAATTGTGCTTGAAGAAATATCTGGACCCTTCCTTAGAGGCCTGGGAAGCTCCTCTGCCCATGGAGCACAGAGTACATTCATGAGGTGTACTCAAGTCTGCACCACGAATAGGCAGTGCAGTCTGATTCCTCAGCTGGCTTGTTCTATATCACTATTTTCTGTTTGGGTATAATTTCTGGGATACCTGGAATTGAACATACCAGTTTGGGCTACATTTTCCACCTACTCATTCCCGGGGCCCAGGACACTGAGGGTAGCATTAGTCACTTGTTACTAGACAGAACTGTTACAGAAAAAGGTCTGAAGAAAATACTGTGAGAGGTATTGAACTTGAGTATAAAATGTATTCAGTCAAGCTGATCCTGCTTTTGACTTTACTATTTTTTTTTCCCTCAAAGTAATCTCTATGCCCAACATGGGGCTCAAACTCACAACCACAAGATCAAGAGTCACATGCTCTTCTGACAGACCCAGCCAGGTGTCCCGTGCTTTTGACTTTATTCTCATTCCCAGATTATTTCCTTGTTTCCCCAGGAAGTACCTAGATGCTGGTTCTTACCTCTTAAACTGCCTCTCACTGATTTGCCCATTGACATCAGTGATTGATTGGATTGATTGACTCCTTTTTTAAGATTTTATTTTTAAGTAATCTCTACACCCAACATGGGGCTCGAACTTACAACCCTGAGATCAAGAGTCACATGATCTACCGACTGAACCAGCCAGGCCATCAGTGATTTTTTTTTTTCATTCACCATCCTCCATGCTTTCATTGGGCCTCCTTTTGAAAAGGGAATTGTTAATGCATTGACTGATCTCCTGAACTTACTTTTTAAACAACGTGAATGGAGATCAAAATAAAAGGGAAAAGTTACATAGTCTGATACCTACAAGACTTAAAATTTTCCACATGCCCTTCCCGTATTGGTCCAGCCTGAACTACTGGCGATATGTTTATTATTTTTATTTTTTTAAGATTTTATTTCTTTATTCATGAGCGACAGAGAGAGAGAGAGAGAGAAAGGCAGAGGGAGAAGCAGGCTCCCCAAGGAGCAGGGCGTGCGACGCAGGACTCGATCCCAGGAGCCCGGGATCTTGACCTGAGCCGAAGGCCGATGCTTAACCATCTGAGCTGCCCAGGTGCCCTGGCGATATGTTTAGAGGAAGAGGCACCGCTGCTTTAGAAACAAGCCCAGGGCTCAAAACTGGCCTCAGAGGAGTGTGTGTCAGAGCCGGTGCCAGTACGCCCAGTCCCCTGCTGCTGGCCGTGCTGCTGCCGCTTAGACATCTTCCTCTCTGCCCAAGGACGCTGTGGCGCTACCTACACAAACAGGGAAGGTGGAGAAGCAGTGAAACAAGGTGATTTTGTAGAACTTCAAACGGGAGAAGCTTGACGGGCTCAGGAGAACGTAGGTGTTGGTTTGAGTCATGTGGAGGCTGGGGTCTGTAGATACACCCTTAATTAGAGCAAGGAGCCAAAGAAGGCAATACATACACATGTTCCAGTTGGTTAAGACTTGGTAAAAATTTGTACCATGTTTATTTAGAGAAACTTAAAAAGTATAGAAAATGATACCCATATTCCTGCTACCTAGAATTGACTGACCATCATTAAATATTGGCTCGTTGAAAAATTTCAACGGAAGAAAACATTGCAGATAAAAACCCTATTGGATTTGCAAGTCCAACACCATTACTTGCTTCTCTTCCTCCAAAGCCAATATGAACATGAATTTGGTGTTTCCTTGTGAGTCCATTTTCTGTAGTTACATACATGAATAGCTCATACCCATTAGAATGGCTGTTGTCAATAAGAAATAACAGGTGTTGGCAAAGATGTGGAGAAAAGGGAACCCTTGTGCACTTTTGGTGGGAATGTATTTTGGTGCAGCTACTATGGAAAACAGTGTGGAGGTTCCTCAAAAATATTAAAAATAGCAGTGCCTGGGTGGCTCAGTCGGTTGTGTTCGACTCTTGATTTCAGCTCAGGTCATGATCTCAGGGTTGTGAGATCGAGCCCTGTGTTGGGCTCTGCGCTGGGTGTGGAGTCTGCTTAAGGTTCTCTCTCTCCCTCTACCCCTCCCTGCCCCTCCAAAAAAAAATTAAAAATAGACTACCATATAATCCAGCAATTCCGCTTCTGGGTATTTCTCTCTCTCTCTCTCTCTCTCACACACACACTTTTATTCAGCCATAAAAAAGGAAATTCTGCCATTTGTGACAACATGGATGGACCTTAAGGACACTATGCTAAGTGAAATTAGACAGAGAATGACAAATATGTCTTTTATAGGTAGAATCTAAAAACCAAAAACAAACTCATAGAGAACAGATAGGTAGTCATCAGAGGTTGAGGGGGGGAGAAATGGGTGGGGGGGGATATAAATTTATTTTAAAAATAATAATGAAAAAGGTGTTTTGCACTATCCCACTTTGAATTATATACTGTTAATATATTATTACTAGTGTATTTAGCTTGTATCTACTATTTTACCTTTTGCTTTCTATTTGTCCCACCTTTGCTCTGCTTTTTGTTCGTCTTTCTTTCATTCTTAAAAGTAGCCTGAATTTTTGTTTTCATATTCCCCTTTTTCTGTCTACTGGTTTGGAAGTCATTGACCCTATTCCTGTTCTTAGAGTGGCTACCCTTAAAATTTTACATTGCACACTTAACAGAGCCTAAACATCCCACTCCTTCTAGATAATACAAGGACCTTGGAATACTCTAACTCCAATGGCTGTCCCCTTTCACCTTGTAAGTAACCTTGTAAGTCTGATCTGCATCTGTCCTTTTTTTCAGCCCACGCATTTGCCTTCATGATCATTATACTGAATTATACAATGTTTGTTTGGATTTATCTACATGTTTGTCATTTTTCTCAACAATCCTTGTCTTCTTTCATCACTTTTCTTCTTTCTAAATTACATACTTAGAACTTCTTTTAATGTAGGTCTATGGTGATTTTTTTAATAAGATTTTATTTATTTGTCAGAGAGAGAGAGCACAAGCAGGGAGAGCTGCATGCAGAACAGCAGGGCAGGCAGAGGGAGAAGCAGGCTCCCCGCGGAGCAGGGAGCCTGATGCGGGGCTCCATCCCAGGACCCTGGGATCATGACCTGAGCCGAAGGCAGCCACTTAACTGACTGAGCCACCCAAGTGTCCCTATGGTGATTTTTTTTTAAGATTTATTTATTTTAGAGAGAGAGAGAGCATGAGTGGGAGAGCAGAGGGAGAGGGAGAGAGAGAATCCTCAAGCAGACTCTCCGCTGAGCGTGGAGCCCCACTGAGGCTTGATCCCACGACCCTGAGATCATGACCTGAGCCAAAATCAAGAACTAGCTGCTTAACTGACTGAGCCACCTAGGCACCCCAGTCTATTGGTGATTTTTTAAAAACTTTATCTTGAGATAATTGTATCTGGTAGCTAGGGAGAGTCACTGACCTAGAACCACTTTAACATGCTTCTAGGGTCCTATCCAATGCAAGAATCTTAGACTCAGTTCCTCCAACTTGCTCCTGGCTCTGCTGGTGCTCCTGAGTAGGCATTTACCATTAGGTAACACCCCTCTCTA